AAAAAAAGAAAAAAGAAAAAATTTTATAAAAACATACACCTACCACTACTAAAAATGGAGGATACTAATAACTAAAGTGAATGATCTTGTTAATTACCAGACTGTTAGTCAGACAAACTCCCCACTACAAACCATTAGTCTAAGAATATTTGCATCATGCTTCTCCACCCTTGAGTTATCATGAACTAATTGATTTGTAAACTCCATTAATGATCTAAATACTGTTAAAAAATGAAATTGAACCTAATTATTATATTTAAAATAATCACAAAGAATATTATATCCTATGCTAATAATTTGCATGCAAGGAGACTAACACAACTCTTAAATTTCACATCCGTGCCTTGTTAGGAAGTTAATAAGTCACACCCATCACAATAATCACATGTTATAAAGTCATATGACTTGCTTCAATGCAGACACCATTAAAAACTACATGCTTGATTAACTATGTGAAGTAGAAAATCAAGACTATTATCAAAAATCACATCCTTGAAATTTATTTTTGATTTACTTCAGTGATGCCACCTGGTTCTTAACAGAGCAGCATGCATTACATTAACAGAATACTCAAACAATATGTTTTTCAATAAAAGTTATATAATGGATGCTGGTATGTGCAGTTCATTTAAGTTATTTATATACATTTGACACTAAAAGTCATTAGGATATGAGAAGTGTACTCCCTGCTATTTCAAAATAAGAATAAATAGTAGATCTAAAAAAATAAAATAAAACAGTTTTTCCTTATCACAAAACTTCACAGAAAAAATAAATAAATAAAAAACCCAAGGCAAAATGTTGATGTATCATTGGTTAAAACGGTTAAAAATATCAAAATAGTGCAAAGTATTAATTAGAAAAGCATCCATGAACCGCATACTCTTGTAAAACTGCGATACTGCACATTAAAATAAAAATTACTGCAAAATCACACAAAAAATAGCGCAATGTATTATATAATATTTAAGGAATAAAAAATGTGCGCGCCTCTTTGTACTGTAATATAAACATGCTGGGAGCTGTAGAGCAAGAGAGAAGCAAGCTCAGGAACATAAGGCATAGCCAAGTGATTCTCTTGCTTTCTCGAGTGCTCTAGATCTCCCAGAGTGTTTTATAATGCTTTTAAGAAATATTTTTGAATGATTTTGCATGAGCGTGTCTCTGTCCTCTGATATAAAAATTGTAGCCAACCAATCAGCTCACGCCTTAAAGCTCAAATATGTACATACACATATATATGCCTGTACTAAAGATTTAAATTTTAGACATTATTTTACAAAGAACTGTCGAAAAGAAAATTAAACACAGCAAAACAAGAAAAAAAGAAAGGAAAAAAGATCTGCTTCTACACATGTTCCAGAGTCAAAACAACCGAAACAAAAGAACAGAAAGTGGTGCACTGGATTCAAAAAGTTAAAGTTTCAAGTTATGAATCTTTACTTTGTTAAGAAAAAAACTGTTTTGACTAGCATTAAAATACTAGTAAAACATCTAAGACATAAATGACATAATTTACTCTAGAGGTGTAGAAATGAAAGTAATTAATTTTTAATGTAACTGAGTCATTAATTATTTAATGTGGTATATTAATTATATTAACTTTTAACCCAAAAAAAGATATAAATTTTGAATCAAACATGATGTACATTAATATGTATAAAACTGATTTGAGGATCAATTCAATCCAAAACAAAAGTATCAAATGTATTCAGCTTATATTGCCTTTGTTATAAAATTCAAATATTACAACAGCAACAAAAAAAACAAAAAAACCCCCCAGAAATATTACATAATACTTCCTTCATAAAGCTAACTTCATAAAGCTATAAAAGTATCCAGCAATAAGGATGAGTATTGTGACAAAGGATTTATAAATATTCATGTGGCTATGGCTCTGATCATGTACACATTTAGATGTAAAATAATTGATTATCAAGTTGTGTTGGAATATATTCAAAAAACATAATTAGGGTACAAAAGATAATAACAAATCAAAGCCATTTAATATTTTGCTTAAAAGTACAAATTCAAATAGCATGCACCCACCAATCATACACTTATTTAGGGCCTTAAACTTCTTAGTCTTCATGTTTTCAAAAATCCATGCATTTAAGTCTTCATAAAGACTTGATAATGGACACAATTCAATACAGAAACATGTATAACTGATAAATGAAAAAGCTTTATGTTTTTTTTGCATTTTTTATTTAAAAGTAACAATTCAAAGATAAATAAATTCCAAGAATCACACATTAGCTTGATATATATTGACGTCTATTATTAGCATTAAGTTTGTACGGCACCTTTGTCTGGCAGTCAAAAAAAAAGTTCACCTTCCACATGATATTGCTTAAAGTCATAGCATCAAAGCTGATAAAGATAATCCCAAAATAAACAGTCAGCCGAATTAATGCATCAAGGATTCAGGAGTTCAAATTAATCAGACAGAAAAAATGTTTTGTCAATTGATAGCCATAAAGTAGTAATGTCAATTTTTTTTTCTTGAAAAAAGTCATGAATTTATTAATGTTAATTGAGAATGTGAGTTTTACTCTTACATGTTGCCACCTGGTTGGTCCACATGATATTGTACTGTGGCAGTCAGAGTGAGAAGACATACATATTAAAAGAATACGGATGACTTCTAAAATATATGTCCATTAGCTGAATAGCATAGTCTATTTAAAAAAATTTCAGATAAAAGGATGGAGTATTCAAATGAGGATAAACAAGGAAGAGATAAATTAATAAAACTGGAATATATATTTWAAAAAAATCAAATATCTTATAAAGTATCAATGAATAAATATACATGCTTCAGTAAAAGTGATGCTTGACTGCTTATCTCTAAGGCAGATTCTATATTGTTGACTGACAAATCATTTGGTGACAGTAAAGTGGCCAGGCGTATTCATCCAAGATAATAACTAGAAATCATTGTTACCATTTCAAATAAAATTTCTTAAAGATGTGTCAACTAAAAAGTCATTTGTGGTGTTTAATTTGTTATACTTTTTTTTAAAATCCTCACTTTACGAAGATGGAATAGTGAAGATCATAATCCCTTTATTATCAGAGCTATTGTTGGCTAGCAGATGGCATCAAGAAAGGCTTATTTTGGTATAGCAAATAAAAACATTATTTTTCAATTAACTGAATGACTTGGTATACTTACAATTATTTTTTGCGAGGAAAAATTCCTCTGCGAATACTATCTTATTCACAGTTGGTTTTGTTATATAATTAGATTTTTTCTTCGAGTGGAAATAAATTTAGAATATTTTTATTCCATATATATTATTCATGACGACAAAGCAGATTAGCAACAGGATTTCCACTTTTGTTTTATATTTAAGATATATTCGAAATATAACTTCGAAATAGTCCAGCGATTAAATCGCCCACAGTCAAAAATATGTGCCTATAAATTAAATCCCCGGGTAACACGATATCTGAATTTCAATCTTTAACCCAATAATGTCTACCGTCATGAAAGCTTTAATTTTAATATCGTAAAAAATATTCATTATGTGAAATTAATAAAAGACAGTTTTTTTTACAAAATAAAAATTGAACGAGTTGAATTAATGATTTCGCAGCATGGGGACATAAAAAGATGTAAAACACGATGAAATTTAAGTACGTATTTGACTTGAAATTGTAACCCACGGAATGCGCGACCTTAAATATATTTGTGTTCTTTCGACGTCTTGTTTAAATGTAGCTGAAAATATCATTTATGGCCTACTTCAAGGCTAAATTAAGTTCAGATTTTTTCTATCTTGGCGGTAAAATTGATTGATATTATTCAAACAATATAAAAATGCAATTGTGATTGACTGACTTAATTAGGCTCAGAACATGCGGTAAATTGTTTACCAACCAATGCTTAAAGATTTCGAAGACTTCTGGTATCAATTTTTTTGAAATCAAATTCCAACTAAAAATCGAAAATAGCTCACACGATAATCCAATATTTGATAGATTTTTTTAAATCTAGAGCGATAAATTTTAAAGTTCCAAGAATGTAATTTTAGAGCCAAAAGTGACAAGGCATTTGTATTCAAATTATTTGACTATTGTCAAATGGTTTATTGTGTCAGGGCATCTGTTTATAGACAACGTGCCGTGGAGTTTTTAGCGTTTCGCTTGAAGAGTCATAAACCGATTTTTTACCTAAATAAAAAAAAACGTGGTTGGCAAAATAAGCGCATCACACCGTAACAACGAATAACGGAAATAACAAACTTTATTATTACACCCACAAAAAGTAAGGTTTTCTATCTTGACTGGTGCGAAWTTTTTTGTCATTGTTAGCTACGTGAATAAAAACCCGCTCAAATTCTCACTTAAATATAGAGACTTCACTTTGTGAATATCAATTAGCAGTTTGTATTTTTGATATCAAATAAAGAGCTTAACATAAAGACAATCAATGATATCGATAGAGCTAAAATAAAAATGGGGATTTTTTTAGGCAATAGGAATGGTATAACTAAAGCAATAATATACTGCCTTCTATGAATCAAATACTTGTTTACTGATATGACCTCAGCCGTGATAAAAAGTTGCGAAGCCATTTACATAAAACGGGCATGCTCCGATATTAGGACAAAAATCCCTCCAAAAATTGATCAAATCAATTCTAAATTATAGACAATATTTCCTAAAGTCAAATATTTCTAAAAAAATTTGACATAAGAAAATAAAGTGATCTTACTAAAAAACTTTCATTAGTGAAGACCAGCACATGGGAATTTTTACCACTTCCGTACAACGCGTTGAAAAAAACAATAGACAAAATCGTAGTTTCATGAAGTTTATAAATTCGAGGAAATATTTATCTCATTTATTGTCCTGAGATTATACTTGTATATTATTAGGCGTAAAATAGTTATTTTAGATAAAATACGTTTCGGTGACGGTCGCGTATCACTGAACCACAACGTATAAGTGTGTTCTTATTTTACATCGATACATTAACAAGAATAAATAATGATTATAACTGCTGTGATTTGTTCTAGATAGCCATTAAATTCTTTATAGGGATTCTGCGCTTCGATTTAATATATAGAGTAATTTCCTATCGCTTACAGCATCTGAATTTAAATTTCAAAGCGATATTTTGCAAGCGATTTCTAACATAACGACAGGACAAATCTGCCAGCGCTCAATAATATTTTCAACAAACAATTTTCGTTAGCCGATAAATTTGTTAACAAGCCTAATTTGAGACCCTTAAAGAGAGGACCTCCTTGAGCAAAAATATAAAATATTAAAATAAATTTTTAATTTAAAAATCTACATTACCTTTCCATGTATTGAATGCCTGCCTAATGGAGTATTTTCGGGTTTGAAATACAATCTTGCGGAAGCGAGTTTACTATCAATACTTGCGTCGTGCCAAATGAGTTGTAGTTCTGCTATACAGATCGGACGATCTTCTGAATTTCTGACGAAGTAGAACTCGCCAAGGCAATAGCTTTTTTCTTTTCCACGAGAATTTATTTTAAACCCCTTGTAGAACGTATATGATCCATGCCGTCCACAACTTGAACCGATCCACTAGAAATACAAATCAATAATTTAAAGTCAGTTAGGCGGTAATTCTGTCATGGTATGCTTTTACGAGAATTAAATAAAAAAGTGCTCTAAATAAGTATTTTTGGGCATAAGATCTAGACTAAATATACGGTAGGTCTTTAGAAAAATATTTCTGTCGGTTAGGAATATTTTTGGGGGTTCAAAAGGAGCCAAAGAAGAAAAATACCTGCACTTGTGTGTCGTTCATTKTGCTGTGTAGTTTATCCTTCAAAATCCACACATTGAAATGAGTTTTAGACTTAGCACCACGTGATCAAACGTCACCGATCAACAAGCACATTTTTACCATGCAGATTATTAAACAGTACATAATAAACTCAAAAATCACGAGAAAAATTGTCATATAACTATTGCTGCCGACCATCTACATTAATTTTGCGTTTGGGGTATAATTTCAAGCGCTTCGGTGATTCGCTATATGATTTGAAGTACTGGTCATTTCCTCCCCACCCCCTCCCCCACTATAAATATGATATCATATTCGCTTAAAAGCGTTTTCTGAGGGCCCAATTTTTAAAATAATATCGGGAGAAAAGGTGATTATAAAAAGATTATTTTCACATTTTCTGATTCATAATTTTAATGTAATATGAAATATATAAGAGATATTTTATTATTTTTTTGCTGACTTAATGTTGCTCAAAAATAATATGTGGATGTGAGACAATATTGAAAAAAAATTTTTTTCTTGTGTAATTGGATTATTTCTTAAATAAGCAGCCTTATATGGAATACGATATTATGAAAATTTAATTGTTTTGAAAAATGTTAAAAATAACAGTATTTGCATTATGTTTAATGTCATATTTTCTCTTCAAATTATATGAGGATTAAAGCAAAAATATTTTCTAAAAACTGTTTATTTTATTATTAAAAAAAAATCAGTAATGGCGTGCATTTTACTTTTTTATACATCGAGGGTACAATATCTAAAATTCCTGTGAACATTATTAAGTTTATAAATATTCTGTATCTCACCACAAAGCATTATAGCATTAAATTCACAAAAGAAAAAAACATTATTCAAAAAATATCAACAATAAATATTAAACATTAACCTACAATTTATTTTAAAAATTTCATCAAATGCGATTATGTCCAAAAACGGAGGACAGCAAATCTAAGATCTCATCGATATGAATATCCTATGAATATCAAAATATCAGCAAAAATAAACAGCTATTTTTTAGACAATCTTTAAGCTAGTATTATTTTTWAAAAATAATAACAGGTAATTTATTCATCTTTCTAGAATTATGACACCTTTATAATATATGTTATTTACATTCATTTTTTTTTAAAAAAAAGAAAAACAATATCAATTCAAGGGCCTTGCCAAAATAAAATCTTAAAAGCATAAAAACACCTGGTAATTTTGTATAAAATAAAAATAAAGAAATATAAAAGAAAAAAAATTTACCTTATGCTTAGTGGTTTAACCCAAATTTCCCAACTAATAAATAATGAAAATATATATCAAAAGTGTCAAACTAAATATCAGGATTATTGGACATTCTAGCAATTTCTGTGGAAGAAAAACAATTAGCTTTACCCAAAAATAAAACTCATGCTATATATATAAAATTAAAAAATATATATAATATACGAATTTTATTTAAATATATGATAACTAGAATGATTTTTTGAATTTTAATTGTAACAATGTTGAATATCCCTAGAATTTTTCTTAAAAAAGCAAAATCGAAAATTATTTTATGAATGATCATCAAACGTTCTTTTTTAGAAATTAGAAAAAAATTCCATGTTTGCTTAATTCTTTTTACAAAATCAAATCAAAAATTATTTCATAAATTATTATCAAACTTATATCCTTAATTTTTCTTTTTAAATTTCAAAAAAAAATTCTATAAATTTGTATAAAAAAAAGTTATGGAGTTGCAATTTAAACATACAATGTATGAAGTCCAAACAATAAAATAATAAAAACAATTAAAATAGAATATTTAGTTCATAAATCAAAACATGTGCATTGGTTATAGCATTCAAAAATGATAATAGTGGAGATTTCAGAATGAGAAAATGAATATAAGTGTTTTTGAAAATCAAAAAAAAAAAAGAGAGGAAGAAAAAAATGGTAGTTTATAAAAAAAGTGAAGACACATTAATCTTACGACTCAAGTCAGTTTTAATTATGACTTATTTTTTGAGTGCCCATTTTTTAGAATTATAAAACTCATGAATAATTAATGAGGAAAACACAATAGAAATCATTGTCCGTGGAGGAGGTTGTATATCTGATACAAAATCGTCCTGATTTGGATTTGCATAAACTTCAATTTTCTTAGCCAAATTCAATTTTATCTTTAAAATTATAGTAGAACATGAATGTATACACCTACACATTTCATAAGCAATACACAATATGAGTGGCCGTGTTGTATCAGATATACAATCAATTGCCTTCGGCTCGTGGTTGTATATCTGATACAACTCATATCGTATATATTACTTACAATCTGCTATACGAAAATGACCCCTACAACTGTAATATGTAATTTAAGGATGTTAATCCAAGTTCTTTAATATTGTAATGTGTATACAATACAATACAATTTTATTTTATTTTATGTGTATATAGGTCCAGAAATGACCATACCCTCCCCCCCCCCACCCCACTGAGGAATTTATTTAAAGACCCCTCCCCCCCCCATCACACAATGTCTGGAACTACACAATGTCACTCTAATATGCTGTCAGCTACCATTCAAAAAATGATGTCAGTAGATAGGTGATAAGGTACGTTTTGGAATGGGGTGGGGGGAAGGGCTGGGGCTTCAGAGGGGAGGGAGGTCATCAGTAAAAATTTCACATTTTTGGAGGGTGAAACCTTTTAATTTTTGATGAAAGCTGTTTCCTTAATACAGGGCTATACAGGGCCTCTGACAGAATGCGGTGGAAAATTCCAAATTATGCGGAGAAAATGGAAAATCATCTTTCTTGTCAAGAAAGCAAAGGTTAATATTGACTTCTTTAGCATGACAGCCAATAAGCTATTTTAAATTTAATACACAGTGATTATTTGTGTTTCAATACTGTACCTATCAAAGAAATGAAGGGTGATGAAGTTCAAATTACATATAGGAAGAGGGGGAAAGGGTGCCGGGGATAGGTTCAAATACCCACTCCAACTTTAGAAGCATGGGTGACATGAGGTGCTAATATACCACCTGTTAATTACCAATATGCATCCCAGGGTTGATTTCTGGGCTCATGCAGTATGGATTTAATTGTTGGTTCTATCCTGTGCTTCGAAGGATTTTCTCTGGGGTCTTTTATTTTCTTCCCTCCACAAAAATTAAGTAAATTCCAACTGTGGACCTCTAGCTCTGATGTGTTAATTAATGTGCTTAAAAATAACCAAGCTGCTACATGCATATAATGTAATTTAATGAAATGGGCCATAATATATTATGATAAAGTGCAAAGCTTATTTTAATGAAATGGGCCTTAATATATTATGATAAAGTGCAAAGCTTATAAACTGTAGGTTGTTATGCCGAGGGCTGTTTTCAAGAAAGAGGGAACAGTTTTTCCCTATCCGGGACCGACTATAGGATGGTAAATAACTTATTTATTTTTTCCCATATTTTTTTACTTGTTTTGGTAATTGTTTTGCTTTGTTGTTTAGCGGCAAGGATACCCGCCCGCGAGCACGGGCAGATACTGACACTCAAACAGCCAATCAGAACACACGATTTTTTAGGATATATGAAAAAAAGATAATCTTTAAAACTTTATCACACAGCAGGCTTATCCAGGCTTTAAAAACCTAAATATTTATTTGCACTCAAAATTGAAGGACATTTATGGATATAAATATAAGATGATCCCTATTTCATAGCTTCCCTAAATTCAAACTGAAAAAAATTGGTGCTGCATGCTCTTTAAAATCTTCAAAGCCCATATTCCTCAATACTGTATGCTATTTTATGAGTTTAAGAAGCTAAATACATCAATAGGGCTGTTCAATTCAAATAAGGTGAGAGATTTGATTTATGGAGTCCTCATGGGCATCTAAAGAAAAAATTCTAAGCTATAGAATCCTCTGTTAACTAAAGAATGGCTTAAAATTATTATGAGAGTGAAGATATAATATTCAGATAAAAGAAATTCTCAAGGGTCACAATATATTGACCTATATTACACAAAATAACTATATATTCGTTTGTTTATAAAAGAAATCTACTCTATTCACTATTCTCTACTCATCRCAGTCTTTGGAAATATTCAAGAGAAAACTAAAAACATTTTTGTTCAATTTGTAACTTTAATCTATTTTTTCACTTGACATTTCATTGTAATATTTGTAAAGTGCATTGAGAATCTATAATGCACTAAGAACATATTTATTATTATTATTACTATTATTACATGTGTATTATTATTATTATTACTCTAACATTATAATAATTATTTATGAACCTTCTTACCATCTATCTCTTAACAGCAGAAAAAAAAACAATAGCAATGATTACTTTGAGAATTAGAACAATGTGAAGCACTATATCACACAGTTTTATATATAGTCATTGAGTATTTTAGTTTCTAATAAATGCCATAAATAGACCTTTTTCGAGTTCCAATACTACCGCTGATACGCTTTACTGCAGATCCATTTGTACAGGGTTAGCCTCGATTGCGTGTTAAAATGTTTATAAATGCCAACGGGAAAGCAAAAATTGTTCAGCTTGAACAATAGAAATACTTTGAATTTCCACGAAGTATTCTGATGTATTACGTGCAAGTGAGGCTAACCCTGTAAAATGTGCGTCTGCTGTGCGTTCAGCGGTCATTCACAGGGAATTGGAAACTGGAGTATTGTCAACATATATTTACTATGTTGGCAATTAACTTATGGAATTTATTGAAAACACGTACAAGTCGGATACATTAAATTAAACAGTTTACGATAATTTCTGTTAGAACTGTTAATACAAATATTAATATGTCATGGCAGTGCACAAGTCTAAAAATAGGAKAAAGTAAGAAGCTTATCTTAGGGTAACACATGAGCTTCATACTGCTTGAAATTTCTTATCTTTTAATATTAAAGATCAAGATAAGAAACCAAATTCTAGCTTGTGTTTGTAGCTATATGTGCATGTCGTTTATAGTCTATAGAGAACATAGTGTCTTTTGGCATCAAAAAAGTCATGAATACATTTAACCCTTCTGAACTTCCTAGTTCATTAGTGGGTAAGAGAAGTATTTAAATGTAATATATTAAGAAATCACTGACAGTACTAAATAATGATTTCAAACATGCTCATATTAAATAAAACACTGAGATCTACACATTAGGCTTAATTAAGTGTTGATTTGTTCATGATGAGCAGATATACAAGTAATATTTTATCTATATTGGTTTACAACAGTCTGCCCTTAAAAACGT